GAAGTGGTGCGAATTGGTTAGAAGCGGTGCGAAGTGGACAAACTGGCGCACGCCAAATGGGGACAAGTATTCAGCCCCCATCGCAGACTTGTCATTAAAAAAATGTCCTCGAATGGGGTCTTCACTTGATCCCACCTTTTTTTTTTTTTTTTTTTTTTTTTTTTTTTTTTCAAACTAGCTTGACCAAGAACAGGAAATACGTGTGGGATGGATTTTGCCTAAGCTTCAACATCTCCTTCTTCTTCCTCAAATTCTCCCTCCTCTTCAGCTGTTGCATCTTGGTATTGCTGATACTCTGAAACCAAATCGTTCATGTTGGACTCTGCTTCTGTGAATTCCATTTCGTCCATACCTTCTCCTGTGTACCAGTGCAAAAATGCCTTCCTTCTGAACATAGCCGTAAACTGATCTGACACTCTCTTGAACATTTCCTGGATGGCTGTGGAGTTTCCTACGAAGGTGACTGCCATTTTCAATCCCTTTGGTGGAATGTCACAAACGCTAGATCTGTGGATGTGAAAATGAAAAAAAAAAAAAGGGGGGGGCGCCATTAGAGGTGAGAGTTAAGTCGCGGTGCAGGTGGGAAACAGATATGCTCATAGTTTGGGGGTGTGTCTGCCCTGTGAACGCGTCACGTGCAAAGACGTCTCGCTTGCGTGCAGGGGATGGGTAGTAGACGGTAAAATGGGCGCAATCGCTTCGCCTGGGTTGGGCACAAAAAACTTACTTGGTGTTGTGTGGAATCCATTCGACGAAGTAGGAGGAGTTCTTGTTCTGCACGCTGAGCATCTGCTCGTCTACCTCCTTAGTTGACATTCGTCCTCTAAACATGGCGCAGGCAGTTAAGTATCTTCCGTGTCTTGGGTCACTTGCGCACATCATATTTTTGGCATCAAACATCTGTTGAGTTAACTCTGGTACTGTTAGAGCTCTGTATTGCTGACTGCCTCTGCTTGTTAGTGGCGCAAAACCAATCATAAAAAAGTGGAGACGTGGGAAGGGAATTAAATTAACAGCTAATTTTCTCAAATCAGAATTTAACTGACCAGGAAATCTTAATGAACATGTAACTCCTGACATGGCAGCAGAAACTAAGTGGTTTAAGTCACCATAAGTTGGAGTAGTGAGTTTCAAGGTTCTAAAACAAATATCATACAAGGCCTCATTATCTATGACTTGTACTTCATCAGCATTTTCAACCAATTGATGGACAGATAGGGTTGCATTGTATGGCTCAACAACTGTATCTGATACTTTGGGGGAGGGGAATACTGA